CTCTTCAGATAACCTCATAGAAGCGGTAGAAAGGTCATGAGGTCATGCTTGACCTCAGTGAAGGTACAGTACTAATGGTGTTGTGGTCGATTAACTCGGCAGAGCAAGTACTATCAACCAAAAAACCATACAACAAAGTACCACCAACAGTAATTACTACTACAGTGGACCCTGTGGAACTAGTGTGAGTATGATGTCGTTAAGATTTAAGCGTAGTTAGCCTAGGCTTAACCTTGAGAAAAGCTCCTATCTAGCGTATTTAAACTAGTTCAATTCACTGAACCGTTGCCAGCAGTGTAACATAATTGCCTGGAAATTCAAACGAAAAACTAAGTCAAGGATTTTTGAAGAAAAAATTCACCTTATTCCGATCCCACCATCGCTACATACTACTACTTATTATGGCAAAATTCGAGCGCTCCCTTGGAATTCGAATGTCTTACAGCCAGTCAAGTCAAGGAAACCAGTCTATAGTTCATTCAAGTTTTTAACAAATCGGATGAAACAAAAAATCGATGGCAATCGAATGACCTTTTAATTCAAGAAAAGACTTCTAGATTACAGGGATGGGATGGGCCACTCCTATTTCATTCAAAATTGAAGTGACATTCAAATGCGGTTTGGCCTTCACAACGACCTACACTGGACAGCAGATGCGCAAGGCACTTTTCATCCTCCGAGACAATTCGGTACTATTTGAGTGACTTCGGAGGGATGGAGGGCTTGGTTGTCCCGAGCGGAATCGTTGCCCTGCACCATTTGTGCCCTCGGAGTACCCTGTTCCCACTTGGGGTTCAACTAGGCTCCATCGAAATCACCAAAGGTCTAGTTTTTGCCCAAGTATGGATGGCCATGGGACTTAAAGCCACAGAGTGACACTAGTCAGACTCCGAATTTAAGTGAATTCTAGGATGAAACGATAAAGGTAAACCGTTTGGTGTTGATAAGCCCTTTTCAGGGATGCGCCAAGGAATTCGTTTTCACTTTTATTTGCAAGGATACCTGAATGCGAGTTGGCTTCTATAATGGGTTGCGGGCCAATGTACAGGTCATTTTCAGTCCAGTACAGTTGAGTTCAGTCAGGCAAGTTCAGTCAATCAGCGTTTATCCTCCTCAGACAAGCATGATACCAGCTTTTAGACCCCGAAAGGATGGAAGGCGTGATCGGCCCGCGGATCGAGCTTGGCCTTGGTCCACAATTTGGTCCCGGACCGTTTAGGTAAGTGACGTTATTCCTTTACCCAACATCCGCCTCGTTTAGGACAGCGGTTCAAGTCTTAGAGGATCGGGTGAATTAAGGAGCAGAGATGCGGATACTATACGGGAATTCTAGGAGGAGTGGCTTTTGGGAGAAGTTGAGGGATGGACATCATAGAAGGTCAGCGTGACCATCGAGCTTGACCTTCGCCAGCCCCTCTACGGGTATCCTTCTCCCCGGGAGCGGGTACAGAAAGGCCTGATATGATGTCGCGGACGGCTTTCCTTAAACGCGTACCCTACGGTGACCACTCAGTCTGAACTCTTGTACCCAAAAGATTGCGCGATGTTCCCGGGTCAATAATTTAGGTTCAGGTGTTATGACCGGAGTGTCGTCAGCTGCGTGGTTGTAGATATCAGCTGTGTTCACCATTCATCAACTTCTGTCACCAAATCGTCAACAAACGTGAAGCACTAGGCTACAAAAACAGACCACGGAATGGAGACTTTTGTTTACAACGCTAGGAATTTAAGTATTTATAGGAGTTTCTACGAGTTGATACATGAACTGATGACGTCCCATGATTTGGCCTGGCCATGTGAGGACAAAAATTTACTACTAACCTGAAGAAGTATCGACCCAGTTTATCGATACCGTAGTACATTTGTTTCACACCAATTGGATCCCTGGCCGCCAAGAAAACACCATCGAAACAAAGGGCAAAAGCGAACACTCCGTCCAGCATGTTACACATTGAACCATCACGAATTTTCTCATACAGAAAGATGATCACCTGCAGAACATCGATCAATCGGTATGCTTTCTACTTGGAATGAACTTTTACTCTTACCTCAGAGTCGCAATGGGTGCGCAGTGACATGCCTTTAAGTTCGTTTTCTCTCAGCTTGACATGGTTGTAAATCTCTCCATTATGAATTACCTGTACATAAAAACTGCATCAACGTGCACATTAATCATTATGGAAGAAAACACTTGAACAACTATCAATAACAGCGCGTCAACTGGTAACCGCGCCCATACCTGGTGAGTGGGTAGCGTTCCTTGAATGGGTTGAACGACTCCGAGATCCATGATTGCAAGTCGTTCATGGCAGAGTATGTCACCAGTGGATTTCTCACAATAGTACCCACTAAAATCTGGCCCTCGATGAGTTTGTCGCCTGAAATGAGGAGTATGAGGGGGCAAAAGTAACCAAGCAATTCATTGACCACTTACTTGGACAACTCTCTAGCTTTCATGACATCAAATCGTTCCGTACATCCATGATGACATACAGCAAAAATACCACACATATTAAAAGGGGAATGTCGTGTTTGAACGAATGGGAGACCCCGTAACAGCACCTGCTTTTATACATGGCCCCTTGGGACGGAGGCGGAGTCATGACGCGAAACGTTGCACCACTATGATGATTACTCGCGTGTCGGCGACAATCAGCGCCGATATTAGCCCTGTGATCGATGATAACGAACAGGTGAGCCCAAAGATTCCGATGATCATCTGATCAAACCGTTCCCACGGAAGTACGTCATGCTAGGTTGCGTACTGAATGAACGAGTTTTCAAGGTCCTAGTCGTTTCTGCAGACAACAACACGTGACATTTCAGCATAACAAAACGCTCAACCTCAATAATCATTAGGTTCATCCATTGTAGTCCTGAAAGTAGACGATTTCAAATGAACATAGGTGATGAAATTTCAGGGAAAATCTGATCTGACTCATGTAGAACATTCACAGAGCTTGTTCTTAGTGCATCAACGCTGGTCTTTAGCTTGAAATCGGCCAGTAGGCCCTTCATTTCTTGGTAGACTTAAAGGCACATTGCCACGGACAGACCGAGTGAAACAAGTTATTCAATTAGCATAGTAGACTGGCTCATAATCTAAAGATTTTGTCGATATCGCGTCTCACCAACGCCTCGGAGTGACCCTAAGGCCCACTTTGCTGGCCTGGATCCTCCTATGAAGCCTATCACTGACCTCAAATGAAGTCGATTGGCTGATGCGTTGGTGGCTGCAGTCTCGCTTCCTTCTGTTCTCTTAAAGTTTCTTCAGCGCCCAATTTTTCTTTCCCATCAATTCCTACAATGCTCCACATCAAGTACAGATCATCAAATATCAGATTTGGAAGCTTCTTGCTTTATTTTATTTTCTTGTTGCCGCAAAATGGAGCCTTGGTACTGGCCATTTTGGGACGTGCAATTCATGCCACTTTCATCCTAGATGGTACCATTTATTGTGCAATTTACCTGTACGGGCATGCATGCCAGCATTTTTGTTCCTTCGGGAAAATGGGAAATTGCTTACAGCCGGACGCTGCATGAGGAAAGGAAAACCGGAGAGATGGTTTCTTAGCCAAAATCTGGGGGGCCCGCCTAAATCTCACATTGCGCTGTTTTGCCTCCTTTAGCCGCAGGACTTTCCCAGCAGTCAGCAATTAGCGGTACTCGATCGGCCCAGTAAGCGATGCCCCTCTTCTTGCTCTTTTAAGGTCGATCGATATGGCCCTCACCTATTCACGGAATATGTTGTCTTAGTCAAACTATAGCGGAGATCTTTGAAGCCCTTGGCTCACGCTTCTAAATTCGTTGGCGGCACTCGCGGGTTACAAATGAAGAGTACATAGACTGGGCGTTGCCTAACTTCGTCTGTCCATTTGTCTTCGGTGGAGAAGACCAAAACAACAAGGTCGACGGGAGTTGGCCGTTCCATTACAAACTTGAGCAGAGTACAAAAAAAAAATTAAAATCAATTAAAATTAAAAATTGAAAAAAATCAAAATAAAATCAAACAAATACAGGAAAAATGACCTAAGAAATACTCAAGCACAACTTAAGGGACACAGCATACTAATCTACAGTGCATGGCGTGATCACTGGCACATCACTAACTTAAGCCCGATCAACAGCAAGGAGGAGAAAGCTTATCACTCAAGCAAATGGGATGCACCATCTGTCATATGTAGTAATGGACCGTTCTTAAGTTTGAGTAGCGTTATTGCGAAATATGATAGGGCCTTACTAACGTCGGGAGTAGCTTAAATGCAGCATAGACCGTCCTATGGGAATTCCAAGCGAATTGTGTTCTTGGTTGGATCACGAGAGGTCTTATTTGGTAGAATGATCGCCGTATTTGCGGGATTAATTGGAAAGAATTTTTTCCGGGAGCTGGGGGGCTTTTTAAGAGTCCAGGAGTTTCCGGAGGGTAATCGCCGACCGCCACCATCCCAGCGGCTACGTACAACCCTCTTTTAGGACATTGAAGGAGGGAAGAGTACGGACTAGGGCAGCATTTCCGTGAGAAGCACTAAAGAGGACTCGTGGAACTCGTTTCGTAGTGTGAGCAGATCCGAGTTACCTTTCTTAAAGGCACAACCCAGGCAGAGGTCGTGTGAACGCTTCTCTTCGGTCTGTAGTATAGACCCCTAGAGGACAATCACAAATGTGGCGTTTCCGTGCACGGAAACCAACCGATAAGAGCGCTTGGGCCTTGCAAAGTAAGCTGCCCAAGCTGCAGACTTTTTTCTCTTATCAGGCTGTTGTGCTGGCGCTCTCTCATCTGTAAGTGCTTCTCTCGCCTCATACTCTCCTCTCCGCTTAGTCTCTCTCATTCTCTTAGCACAGCCGATCAGGAAGGAGAGTAAGCCCTCAACCTGAGCGTTTCCAACGGGTTCTTTTCATTTTTTCTTTACTGCCGGCCCATTTCCCACCAATACTTTCGTGCTTTCGTGCACCAAGGGAGCAAACCAACTGTTGGTCCTGGGGGGGCATTCCCTAATTACACTCATCGCAAAAATGGGATGATTTTGATTTTTTCATGGATTATAGGCGAAAACTACAGATAGATGGAGCCTCGTTATATATAAGATCTCACCGGAACAGTGGAACAAGAATAAAGGGATGAGGGCAAGCTGCGCATGCGCAGTTACGTGTTGATCAATCCCTTTTTGGGATGCGGCACGCATTCTACTTCCATTTGTACATTCGTAGTGGCGTTTGAATGCGATGTGGCCTATACAATGACTTGCGGGGGCCAGCCGATGTACAAGTCAGTGTTTTTATCCTCCCAGACAAGTCTGGTACCAATTAACCGACCCGGAGGGATGGAAGGCTTGGTTGGCCCGGGCGACTCACGACCCAGATTAATGTCTCTCTGCTTGAGTCCCTTCTCTGTTCGGTTGAGAAGCGCTGCCACTTGCACTACACACTGCCTGCCCTCACCGGAGTAGTCAGAGTGAAATGCCTTGATTTAGGCCTTATAATGTCTTGTTCGTGCTCACAACGGTGGGGCGCCTTCGTTGTTCTACGCTGTCGACACTTCGTTCTGCCAAACCGGTAAACCTTAGCGTCGATCTAGTGATTACAATTGAATCGATGGAAAACAAGCAAATAAAGATCACTTTTTTTAGCATATTTTATGGACAACGATAGTTGCGCAGATTTGTTGAGCAGATTGGAAGCAAAAACGCCCGCCTCTGTCTTTCACGGCACTCATTAAGATTCCACGTTCAATTCGCCCATTTGCCTTTTGCCAAAACGAGGCCAAATTGCGTTCACTTTTCAGGTTGCAACCCATCAACAAGACGAAGATCGAGTAACGTTGCCATTTTGCGTCACACGGCACACTCACTCGCGCTTGGCCGCGGTAGACAGTCTCGTTTGTGATGACCATTTTTGGATCACAAGCAGTCACCGACTAGATTCTTTTGCACATAAAATGAACAACAGGGTGACCGCTGGTCCGATGATCATAGTTCTTCACGGAAGATTTGCACGAATGGAACGTGCAGCGGTGGAGAACCCACAGGGTGTAATCTAGAAGCTTGACAGGTAAAATAAGACGTGCAGGCCGCCTCCACAAACTGGTTAACTTGGTTATCAAGCGCAATTAACCTAGTGTTTTTCGGTTTTAGTTATGTTTACTTCCTGGACCGGTTCCTAAATGATGATGCTATGCAAGGGTAAAGCATAGTTCATTACCCGAAGCAAGTTTGCACAATTTTCTTGCCATTTTTGGATCATGAGGATGAACATATATACCAGCGCAGCAGAGACATCGCACTACAGACTCCACAAACACAAGTGACAGGCACGGTCATAAGCTAACAAGCTTAGAAGACAATTGCGGCACTATTCAACTATTACGACCCCAAAAACTCAAAATTTTATTTTTCGTCGAAACTTCGCCTATAGGGGTAATTCGGTGCCCTGATCACGAAAATGAGGTTCATTTTTGGCGCTGGCGCCATTTGGCGCCAATTTGGCGCCAAGGGTGTTTTCACCAAATTCGCTGTAAACTTGCACATAGGGGTTATTTAGGGTCCTGATTACGGATATGTCATTCGTTTTTAGCATTTCCACCGTTCAACGCACATTTTCCATTCTCCTGGGTCCTCTCACTTGTACATAATACCTAGGACTGAGCCTAGAAGGAGGGAGGACTCCGGGGTGGGTGAACCAGTCAACATGTGGCAAACGTTAAAGCGTATAAGATCACAGGATAAGTGTTATTCACTTCGGAGCACTCTCCTCCTCAAAGGCTTAGTCCCGATCGCGAGGTGATCAGTGAGAGGGCGCAGACGAGCGGAAAACAGGCGCACACAGGCGCTAAAAGGAAAAATGAATGTTATATTCGTGATCAGGACCCCAAATAACCCCTATGTGCAAGTTTACAGCGAATTTGGTGAAAACCTTGGCGCCAAATTGGCGCCAATTGGCGCCAAATGGCGCCAGCGCCAAAAATGAACCTCATTTTCGTGATCAGGGCACCGAATTACCCCTATAGGCGAAGTTTCGACGAAAAATAAAATTTTGAGTTTTTGGGGTCGTAATAGTTGAATAGTGCCGAATTATGATGTGATAGTTCCGATAGCCGATAACTAATAGTTGTACTTCATGACAATTTTGATAGAAAACAACTGCGGCTCGGCTCTGTCGATTTCCTTGCTAACAAGAATATATGATATTTTTGGAAGCTCGTCGTCATATTTGTGTTGGTGAAGGTCCGCAGTGCGACACGCACTCGGCCGGTGGATACAGAAGAGACATGCACCCACACATAAGTGTTACCTATGAGCATACAAAGCCAAGGGGAAAAGGCCGATATACGCATTTCAAGTTATTTCCGAATTGTCTGTTGACTGCCTCACATTCTTCGGCGATGAAATACTTGGGACAGACAACAGCTGGAAGAGGTGATACTCTACAATTTACGGACATTACACCTTTCCGGGATTAGTTTGCTCCAACAAACATTCAGGATGTTTTGGAAATCTAAATCACACTGGTAGTGC